CTGAAAAAACAAGAAAAAAGTGCGCATTATACTCGAGATTTTATGGCATAACAAATTTATACTTAGAAATCATACATTCATTGGACTCTAAGGAACTTCGAGAGGTCATCAGGAGCAGTCCCCTGCACTCATGGCAGGACCAAGCACTCTCTAGATCAAGGCTACTCAACTTTGAAAGCTTTGGAGTCCATGTGCCGAGTGCTGCAACTTAAGTGTGGTTGCATATACAGGCAGTCCCCGAGTTACGCAGATCTGACTTATGTCGGATCCGCAGTTATGAACGGGGTTTCTCGCCCCGGAGGACAGGAGCGGCGGGACGCCCAGATGCGCCATGGTCCTGCCGCCCACGTCCTCCGGGGCGAGAAAAGCTGCTCTGCGTCTCCCTGGTCTGCTGGGGGGGAGACTGGGAGCAGAGCACAGGGGCAGCAGGACAGCCCAGACGCGCCACGGCTGTCCCGCTGCCGGCGTCCTCCGAGGCTTTGCTCCCCGTCTCCCTGGTCTGCTGGTCTCCCCGTCTCAGCAGACCAGGGAGATGGGCAGCAAACCCCGTTCGTAACTGCGGATCCGACATAAGTCGGATCTGCGTAACTCGGGGACTGTTTTTTAAATCTCCAAGACATACAGAAACAGCTCCAGACATATTGCCTTTGGCCCTACTACAGAAGACTCAAGTAACATTCTGATTGCTGACAAATGGTGTAGTAAAACTTACATGATAAATATATTAGAACTCTTGGTAAGTAATTACGCATTTATTAACATCCTGGAGTGCTTCCACTATGTCATTTTGGTCAACTTCAGGATCCTTTCAGGATCTTTCTTTCTATAACTACAGGCAGTCCCCGGGTTACGTACAAGATAGGGACTGTAGGTTTGTTCTTAAGTTGAATCTGTATGTACGTCAGAACTGGCATCCAGATTCAGCTTTACTGAACCTGACCAGCGGCTGACTACAGGAAGCCCGAGGCAGACTACAGGAAGCCCCGGGCTTCCTGGAATCAGCCGCTGATCAGTTTCAACAGGCTGAATCTGGACGCCAGTTCTTACCTACAGATTCAACTTAAGAACCCCAGTTGTCCCCAAGTCAGCTGCTGCTGAAACTGATCAGCAGCTGATTCCAGGAAGCCCAGGGTAGAGCAACTCTGCCTCAGGCTTCCTGTAGTCAGCCACTGGTCAGTTTCAGCAGCGGCTGAATCTGGACGCCAGTTCCGACTTACATACAGATTCAACTTAAGAACAAACCTACAGTCCCTATCTTGTACGTAACCCGGGGACTGCCTGTACAAGCAAGTGTATGTTTGATGCTTTTCTCTGGACTTTTTCCGGTTTGTTCACATCTTTCCTGAAACATGGTGTCCAGAACTGGACACGCTACTTCAGTTGAGGCCTAATCAGCATAGAGTAAAGTGGAAGAATTACTTCTTGTCTTACTTATCACACTCCTGCTAATACATCCCAGAGTGATGTTCACTTTTATTAAAACAGTGTTACACTATTGACTCAGATTTAATTTGTGGTTCACTATGACCCCCAGATACCTTTCCTCATTGTTCCTTCCTATAGAGTTAATTCCCATTCTGTATGTGTGAAACTGATTGTTCCTTCCTCAGTGGAGTACTTTGCATTTGTCCTTATTGAATGTCATCCTGTTTACCTCAGGCCAATTCTCCAGATCATTTTGAGTTATAATTCTCTTCTCCAAAGCACTTGCAACTGCTCCCAGCTTGGTAGCATCTACAAACTTTATGGGAATGTCTAAATTATACCCCTCTTTCGAAAGAGGGATGTAAATTAGACATAGAAATTGCAAATGAAGCCAGGATTTGAATTTCCTGTGCTCCATTTGCATAATGGTGGCCGCGCGTTTTCGAAAACAGGTATTTTTAAAGTGAAACAGCTGTCTAGATGTGGTTCTTTCGAAAAACCCCTTTTTCGAAAGATCCTGTACTCCTTAAAAAATGGGGTTTTTCCTTAAGGGGAAAAACTGAGGAGAATTGGCAGTTTTTCAAAGGGACATTGTTAAGGGCCCAAAAGCAAGCTATTCTGCTGCTAAGGAAAGATAGAAAATATGGCAAAAGACTGCCTTGGCTTAATCACGAGATCTTGGATGATCTAAAAATAAAAAAGGAGTCCTATAAAAATGGAAAGTAGGACAAATTACAAAGGATGAATATAGGCAAACAGCACAGGAATGCAGGGGCAAGATTAGAAAGGCAAAGGCACAGAATGAGCTCAAACTAGCTACGGGAATAAAAGGAAGCAAGAAGACATTTTATAAATACATTAGAAGCAAGAGGAAGACCAAGGACAGGGTAGGCCCACTGGTCAGTGAGGAGGGAGAAACAGTAACAGGAAACTTGGAAATGGCAGAGATGCTTAATGACTTCTGTGTTTTGGTCTTCACCAAGAAGTTTGATGAAGGAATGCCTAACATAATGAATGCTAGTGGGAAGGGCGTAGGTTTAGAAGATAAAATAAAAAAAGAACAAGATAAAAATCACTTAGAAAAGTTAGATGCCTGCAAGTCACCAGGACCAGATGAAATGCATCCTAGAATACTCAAGGAGCTGATAGAGGAGGTATCTGAGCCTCTAGCTATCATCTTTGGAAAATCATGGGAGACTGGAGAGATTCCAGAAGACTGGAAAAGGGCAAATGTAGTGTCCATCTATAAAAAGGGAAATAAGAACAACCCAGGAAACTACAGACCAGTTAGGTTAACTTCTGTGCCAGGGAAGATAATGGAACAAGTAATTAAGGAAATCATCTACAAACACTTGGAAGGTGGTAAGGTGATAGGGAACAGCCAGTATGGATTTGTAAAGAATAAATCATGTCAAACCAATCTGAACGCTTCTCCCTTATCCACAAGACTTGTTATCCTATCAAAGAAAGCTGTGTATGTGGTATACCTAGACTTTAGTAAGGCGTTTGATATGGTCTCATGATACTCTTATCAATAAACTAGGCAAATACAGCTTAGATGGGTCTACTATAAGGTGGGTGCATAACTGGCTGGATAACCGTACTCAGAGAGTAGTTATTAATGGTTGACAATCCTGCTGGAAAGGTATAACAAGTGGGGTTCCTCAGGCATCTGTTTTGGGACCGGATCTCTTCAATATCTTCAATGATTTAGATATTGGCATTGAAAGTACGCTTATTAATTTTGCAGATGATACCAAACTGGGAGGGGTTGCAACTGCTTTGGAGGATAGGGTCATCATTCAAAGTGATCTGGACAAATTGGAGAAATGGCCTGAGGTAAACAGGATGAAGTTTAATAAAGACAAATGCAAAGTGCTTCACTTAGGAAGGAACAATCAGTTTCACACATACAGAATGGGAAGTGACTGTCTAGAAAGGAGTATGGCAGAAAGGGATCTAGGGCTTATAGTGGACCACAACCTAAATATGAGTTAACAGTGTGATGCTGTTGCAAAAATAAGCAAACATGATTCTGGGAAGCATTAACAGGTGTGTTGTGAGCAAGTCACGAGAAGTCATTCTTCCACTCTACTCTGCGCTGGTTAGGCCTCAGTTGGAGTATTGTGTCCAGTTCTGGGCACTGTATTTCAAGAAAGATGTGGAGAAATTGGAGAGGGTCCAGAGAAGAGCAACAAGAATGATTAAAGGACTAGAGAACATGACTTAGGAAGAAAGGCTGAAAGAATTGGGTTTATTTAGTTTAGAAAAGAGAAGATTGAGGGGACATGATAGCAGTTTTCAGGTATCTAAAAGAATGTCATAAGGAGGAGGGAGAAAACTTGTTCATCTTGGCCTCTGAGGATAGAACAAGAAGCAATGGGCTCAAACTGCAGCAAGGGAGGTTTAGATTAGATGTTAGGAAAAAGTTCCCAACTGTCAGGGTGGTTAAACACTAGAATAAATTACTTAGGGAGGTTGTGGAATCTCCCTCTGTGGAGATATTGAAGAGTAGGTTAGATAAATGTCTATCAGAGATGGTCTAGACAGTACTAGACTGGTTCTGCCATGAGGGCAGGAGACTGAACTCGATGACCTCTCGAGGTCCCTTCCAGTTCTAATATTCTATGATCTCCCTCTCAGACTCCACACCCTCTCCTGTACTCCAGTACTCTATCCCAAGCTCCCTTCTGCACCAAACCTCCATCCCAGACCCCCCACTCCCCCCACAGAAGTGCGGCCCTTGACCATTTACCGTGGAGTGATCCCACCCTTTAAAATTATTGCCCTTCCCTGTTCTACTGTAATCAGCAGGCTATTCCCTTTCTTCATTCTGCCACATTCTAGATCATTCTGCAAAGAACCCAGTGATTATATAAAGGCAAGAAGCCAGCTAAATGTTGTGGTTTTGCCAGAGAATGAGGAGGGAGTATATATTTTAATTCAGCAACCTACACCATTCTTTTGAGTAGTGGCTGCATGAAGTAGAAAGATATTTTCAAAGATAAAAATCACATAAAACTATAGACAATAGAAAGGAAGAAAGTAAACTTGTAACAAGGAATGGGTCAACTTTTGCTGGTTGTAGTACTGAGTTGTCTCCATCATCAGCTGAAACGTCAACCAAAGACCATATTAGTATTTGAGACACCTTATCAACCAGGACTTAAAACTTTCTCTGTGTAATATTGGAAATCAAAGCTATTCTTGAAGCTCATATTGGTATGACCACTCAAAGCTCCATTTTTCTGAAGCTAACAACAGCCAGAGGCATGCTGAGTTTCTACCATTGTACAGCTTTTAAGTGCAAGCTACTTTTGACTAATTATTCAGATGATGCTTCATACAATCTGATTTGGAAGAAGGCTCAAAACACATTTGAGAAGCAGCTAGCTTCCTTATCACCATGAAGCAGTTGGTACTCTTCAATGGCAAAGAATGTCAGTGACATGCTAAGTTTATAGTACTTTCCTGAAGAAACATGGAAGACCCTAGGGGATATACTAAGCAATATATGTTATCTTGCCACACAAGGATTTGCACTGCAGTGTCATCGTACTGAGCAAGCTAAAATTATGACTATAAATGGAATGGTTGACTTTATTCAACTGCTTTATCTGGAAGAATATGATCCTGATATTTCACAGTGTCTGAAAAAGTCAAGGCACATTCACAAGTACACTTATTCAAATGAGATCATGGAAATCGTGACTCTTAAAATGGTGAGAGAGACAGACTTAAGAAATTTTCTGGAAAGTGCTTCACTTTGCTGTTATGGTAGATGGAACAAATTCTTCTAACAAAGAGCTAGTGGTATTTTGTCTGTGATAAGTAGATGTTCATGAAGAGTTCATTGTTCTGTACAATGTAGTCTGTACATCAGCAGAGGTAATCATCTCAATAAGGGAAGATATGATTGAATGTAAATCTGAGGGTCAAAAACAGTTGTGTACAGTGCTATAAGAACATAAAAACAGTCAGACTGGGTGATAGCAAAGGTCCTTATAGCCCAGTATTCTGTCTGCTGACAGTGGCCAATGCTAGGTGCCTCAGAAGGAATGAAAAGAACAAGTAATTATGAAGGCTACATCTATACTGTGGAGCTATTTCGGGATACCGGAAGTATCATGAAATAGCTATTCTGTGTCTTTTGAGTGGGCCAGTTATTTCGAAATATAATGGGCTCACTATTCCGATGTCCCTGTAAACCTTATTCTACTAGGGTTAAGAGACACTTTAAAATAAGCTATTTCGAAATTACCTCAAAATAAACTATGGAATTTGCACAAATTGCGTAGCTTATTTTGAGGTAAGGGTGTGGCATAGACACACCACGAGTGATCCATCCCCTGTCACCCACTCCCAGATTCTAACAAATGAGGAAAAGAGAAAGCAGCTAATAGCTATTGTTGGAACTATCCTCCATGAGAGTATCTAGTTCTTCTTTGAACCCTGTTAAAGTCCTGGTCTTCACAACATCCTCTGGCATGGAGTTCCACAGGTTAACTCTGCATTGCATGAAGAAATACTTCTTTTTGTTTCAAACGTGCTTCCTATTAATTTACCACCCTAGTTCGAACTAGGGTGGTAGTGTAGACATACCCTGGGTTAGTACGGCCTAGCAGCCAGAGTCGCTACTAAACACCATTTTCATTGGAGCAGTGCAGCCTAGTAGCCGAAGTTGGTGTACAGTGGGTGCAGGCCCCACAGGTTGGAGGGATTCAGACAAGGGGGAGGGTAGGTGTAGCTGCTGAGGAGGAAGGAGGCCTTCTCTACTCCAGTTGGTCCCAGCCCCAGGCCCTGGTAGCAGTGGTGAGGGCCTCTGCTTGCTTAGTGGGGAATCCCACCACAACATGCTGAGGTCCTCAGGAAACCATCTCCAACCCTGGGGCTACTTCCTACCATATTCCACTGGACTCTCTCCAGGGTCCTTCCTCCAGGTCCTCTGCAGTAGTGCTGGTGTCTCACTGGGTGGCTTCCAGGTCCAGTCTCTCTGGCAGTTTGCCTGCAGGACCTCAAGCAGCCATGCCTCCTTCCTCCTCAGCAGCCAGCCCAGACTGAGCCCTTTGCCAGGCTTTTATACCTGGGCTGCAGGCTGAGCATGTCCAGCAGAGCTGTGTGGGCAGGGCATCTTCACCCAGGTGAGCCTGGTCAGCTTCTCCAGTGTAGGGCTGGTACACCCTATCACACACCCATTAGTCTCCTCTTTTCTAAGCTAGAAAGTTCCAGTCTTATTAGTCTCTCCTCACATGGCAACTTTTCCATAACCCTAATCATTTTTGTTGCCCTTTTCCAAACTTTTTCCAATGCTAATATGTCTTTTTGGAGATGAAGCAACCACATCTGTACACAGTATTCAACATGTGGGCATATCATGAATTTATATAGGGGTAATAAGATATTCTCTGTGGGTACGTCTACACTACAACGTTAATTCGAACTAACTTAGTTCGAATTAGTTAATTCAAACTAAGCTAATTCGAACTAACGCATCTAGAACTAAAAACTAGTTCGAATTAGCATTTTGCTAATTCGAACTAGCGCGTTCACATTAAGTGGACCCTGAACCGGGGTTAAGGATGGCCGGAAGCAGTGCCGGCAGGGCATCAGAGGAGGACTTAGAGCGTGGAGATGCTGTTTCAGGCTAGCTGAGGGCTGTGCTTAAAGGGTCCCGACCCCCACCCCGGACAGACAGTTCTCAGGGGTGCCCCGCTTGCAAAGCAGTCCTG